CTGACCGGGAATCGAACCGTGACCGCGCCCACAGGTGGTCAGTGCAGAGCTGGGACTCAGACCAGGAGCCTGACTCCAAGGCTGGCCTCTGTGATCAGACCCACAGATGCTGGGGGTCACCACCAACTACAGCACCTCGGACGGCAAACGATGCCAGGCGGAGGGGTCCACACCCAGGGTGACACGCATTACCAGAAAGATCCATGCTCCCCAGAGCCTCCGGAAATGACCTTTCAAATAAACGCCTTGTCTGGGGGCCGGCTTCTCGAGGAACCCAAAGCCGGACAAGGTGGCCACCTGAGCCCAGGTCCCGGGCAAACCCTGTCCACCGAGTCTGCACACGTTTCTCTGGGTGACGGGACCACGCTCAGAGCACTCTCCGGACCCCAAAGCAGGGAGCCTGCTGCCTGCCTCGTGGGTGGAGGGCATGGTGAGACAGAGCCCCCGGAGGTGGCTGGGAGTGGGGTGCGCTAGGCCCTAACCTCATGGGCCCCCCAGAATCCGGGTCTAATTCCTGGGCACAACAGTTACTACTAGACGATGACTCTACTCTCAAGGCCTTTCAACCCCCTGCCTTCCGACGGCGCCAGAGGAGAGCCAGACTCCCCGGCCCGTGGCCCGTGGCCCGTGGCTCAGGAAGAGAGTGGGAGGGGCTGGCAATTCGCAGGTGTCCTCTAGGGAGGGAGAGACACAGAGGAAACGAGGTCAGCACCTGGGAGATGTGTGGCCCACAAAAGATTCTGTGCAAAAGGCATGCGGACTGAAGTCTTCTGGGGAGACTTCTAGAATCAAAAGCTCTTTCCAAGCCAGGGCTGTCTGCGGCCGAAGGTCAGTGAGGAAGTCCTGGCAGCTGGGTCCCCTCTGGACACTTGCCCTGGGAAGGAAGCTGCTGCTGGCCTGGAGGCCGGCAGGCCAGGCCCACAATGCTAGCCCAGAGCCAGGCCCCAGCCCCCAGCCCCCAGCCCCCGGCCCTCCGATCCCTGGGCCACCCTCCGCTGGCCTCCTGGCCTCCCAGGTTCCCAGGTTAGAGATGAGTTTCTTCAGCATCTGAGCGTCCCCGGGGCATCCACCTGGACAGCC